TCTAATTTGTAAAGAAGGCACATGCTACCATCAACTTTAACATGGAAGGAAGACAGTCTACTTTGGCCATCGTAGATTTCTTAGATGAGATCACCCTTATCATAAATTAAAGAAAGCTTTTCATAGTCACCAAGAGCACCTTCATACTCTGGATGCTTTAATTGGGGAGCAAATTTATGAACAGGTAAAAGACATTAATGTAATTCTTGGTAAGACTCAAATGAATACAAGTGCCAAAAATATATAGAAAAAAAGGTCTATTTTCTTTGATCTTTTATATTGGTGCTTTCTTGAAGTGAGGCATTGTATTGATATTATGTACATGGAAAAAAAGTGTGTAATAGTATTATTGAAACACTTCTAAACATGCTAGGAAAGACGAAGGATAGTGTGAATGCAAGATTAGATTTAAAAAAAAAGAGAATACGAGGGGACTTACACTTGAGATTAAAAGGTAAGAGGACTTACTGTCCCCTGGCTTCTCAAACATTGTCTAAGGTGGAGAAAATAAGTTTTTGTGAGTGTTTACATGGGATCAAAGTGTCATCAGGGTATTCTTCAAATATTAACAATCTTGTATCGATGAAAGAGTTGAAACTGATAGGCTTAAAGTTTCATGATTGTCATGTCTTGATGCAACAATTATTACCAGTGGTAATTCGAGATATATTGAAAGAGGATTTAAGGCACACAATAACTAAACTTTGTTTTTTCTTCAATGCAATATACAATAAAGTTATTGATCCCCTCAAATTAGATGAGTTGGAACAAGAAGCTTGTATTATGTTATGTCAACTTGAGATGTACTTTCCTGCTTTATTTTTCAACATTCTGATATACTTAATAGTTCATTTGGTGAGGGAGGTTAAAATGTGTGGCCTTGGCTACTTACGATAGATGTACCCAGTTGACAGATATATAAAAATATTGAAAGGGTATATAAAGAATCCTTACCACCTTGAAGCATTTATTGTTCAAAAATATGATGTTGAAAAAGCTATGGAGTTTTGTCCTGATTATTTGTCTAATATAGAACCAATTGGACATCCTAAATCTCGTCAAGAGAGGAGGCAATTAGGTCAAGGCACATGTGAGGTATCAATAAAGAGCATGAAACGTGAAAAGGTGCAAGAAGTATATTTATATATCTTGAATAATATTGATGAAGTTTGAAGTTACATAGATACCCATAAAGAACTTATAAGGGTAGAATACAATTAGCTAAGAATGACTAAATAGAGGTTCTTAAAAGAGCACAATAGGACTTTTGCAGACTAGTTCAAACAACAAGTCTTAAATGAGGATAATGTTTCTAATATCATTAAATGGTTAGCAGAGGTTCCTAATGTAGATGTAATATGCTGGAGTGCATAATATATTAATAGGATTCATTTTATACAAGGTCTCTTTATGAGAAGAGTATTGTATAAAATAGTAGAGTTATGATAGTGCCTGAAGCTTTGTACTTCTCAAGTAAGAAATATAAGAATCCAAAAATGGTATTCATGCCTTATTTTGAAATTATTGAAGAGATTTGTGAAATTGATTATACCAAATTTAGAGTGCTTGTTTTCAAATACAAGTAGGTTGATATCAATAGCATGCAATATGATAAGTTAGGATTTACATTGGTTGATCTTAGAAAACTAACTTATAAGGAGGAGCCATTTATTATGGCAAACCAAGCAAAATAAATTTTCTATGTTATGGCAAATAAAAGTTAGTTAATAGCTCTCGAAGGAAAAAAGGTGATTGATAGTGAAGATAAGAATGAAACAGGCTTCGATATCTCTGAAACTCCACCTTCTCATCAGGACTACCCAATTTGAACGTAGATAAGATAGATGACGAACATGTCACACAAAATGATCACTATGAAGGGATATAGGAGAATATCTCTATATGAATTTAATTTTTAAATTAATGTTAGCTTAGAATTATGCTTTATTTATAATTTTTTGTATTTTATTTATTTTGTATTATTTGAATTATACTTTATTTACAATTCTTTGTTTTTTATTTTTAGGAACATGGAGAAAAATTAGAGTGGACTTATAAACAGTGGTCTGAGCCAACCATCTACAGAGGTTACTCAGAGCTAGTTGATTACTGAGTTTGCTCATAACAGTGACAATGATCCTAGTCAGAGCCAGTCAGTAAGGAGGGGTAGGTGAGGAACACAATTGAGAGAGCTGACCTTAAGTAGGTACATTAGCCATAGATTACTAATTGAATTTGACTGACGGTAGAAATCGTGAGGGCCAAATAAGGCCAAGTTTGCCAGCTATCTTGGACTCCTGTCACGAAACAAGCCTAGTATCTTACATGAAGATTGGCTTGATGTGCCAGAACTTGTGAAGGAATAGATTTGGAAAAGCATTCAGGTATATCATTACAAAGTTATAAACATTTGTAATTATTATGTGTAAAATACTAACTATTATTAATTTTAGCTCACCTACAATGTTCTGAATGATGAAGCATGTCGAAGACAGCTAATAAAATATTATGGGGAACATTGGAGAGGTTTCAAGACTAACCTTGCAATGAAATTTGTCTATATCGAGTTGAAAGAAGGTCAGCCTCATTCTAATCCTCTCGAGACATATCAATTTTTGGATGAACAAACTTAGAAAGAATTCTACAGGATTTAGACTTCTGAAAAAGCTATAGTTAGTCAATTTCTAATTGATTTAATTATAGTTATTTTATTCAATTGATTATATTAATTTGTTAATTTTTTATTAATAAGAAAAACAGGCAAAAGGTAAAGAAATTGCTTGGAAAAATGAATGCTCCCTCACGATGTCTCATGGGGGTTATGATCGTGTTGACAATATTTTGATAGATGAGAAGTTGAAGAAGAGAGAAGAAGAAGTTAAATTCGATCCTTCTATTCTCTTATCCCCACCATCGCTTATTTCTCATGAGAATAAATAGGGATATGGTCATCAATATAAGAAGGGAGGGTATATATTCGAGAAGGCATGTGAGGTTGTCGAAATGATTGTAAGTAACATTTAATTCTTTAATTTTTTTTATTCAATTACTAATATAGAATGTTATAATATTTTTTTTTTTTGTTATAAGAGGCTCTTAAGTAATAACAATCTCAAGGATATTTCATTCTAGAGGGTAGAAATGACATTTTGGTGGTTGCTACTAGTAAGCCAAAGCATCCGAGACACATTAGAGATGTTGCATTTGGTATGGGAATTAGAGGTTACTTTGGAGCACATTATGACAAAGTTTAGAATTTTCACAAGGTTAAAATATTCTAGAAGCTTCTGAAATGATCCAGGATAATCAAGAAGGCATTTGAGTCTTCTGGGATACGCTGGTATGACCTTGAAAGACCTAGATATCTCTAGAATAGTATGGAAAACACTTGATGTATCTAAATCATTCTAGGGATATCCTACTCTTGTACATTTTAGAAGTCCCATTGTAAATATCAAGACATTCCTTATAGATATTTCTATAGAAATATCTAGAGATAGAATATACACCGTTAAATCGAATCAATCCCAACCGTCCATTAAGGAGGTGGGAATTTTCTAGAAAAAGGGGGAAGCTTATAAATACCACCTCACCTCTCATTTGTAACTACTCAAGAAAAGTAGTAAAGCTCTCAAAGTTTATTCACTCAAACTCTCTACTCTCTACTCTCTACTTGTGCATCTAGCTCTCTTAGTCTTTTTGCCTACTTTGTAGGTTCGGCTGACTTAGTCACGATCAAGAGGTTGATCAAGCTAAGGCTAGCACGATTTAAGAAAAGGGAAGTTCTAAGGCTGTGACAATGTGGTATCAGAGCCAAGGTCCTAGGAAGCTGTGGTTTCGATAGATACTCATAGGCAAGGATGTTGGGTGTGACTAAGGAGACTCTTGCTAGCGATGAGGAGAGGGGAAGGGAATCCCAACCTCCACACTAAGGTGGTAAGAAGGCACGAGGCACTAGTAAGGTATGTTCAGAAGACCTTACTGTTCTCTCCATAAAAATTAAGGCTTTAGAAAATAGTGGGTAGAGTAGAGAAGGTTGAGGGTGATATGGGCACGTTGGAGGACCATACTCTCAAAGAACTTGATGAGTTAAAGAGTAGTATGGATACCTTACAAAACTCTGAGGATCAATGAGAGGATGCCATGAAATCCTAGGAGGCAAAGGTGATGGATGCCATCACCACAATGCAACAACAGCTCAACACTCTCAAGACTTCCTTAGAAGAAAGAGGAAGAAACCTACTATTGGATGGAAATGGTGGAATAAGGAAAGTCAAGTTAGACCTTCCCAAGCCTAAGGAATTCAAGGGGGTACGAGATGTTAAGGAAGTTGAGAACTTCTTGTGACAAATGGAATGTTATGTCGACACCTTGGGGATGATTGATGATCAAACCAAGGTGCGTACCACTACTTACTTCCTTACAGACAATGCCATGCTTTGGTGGTGAAGGAAGCATGCAGACATGGACAAAGGGCTTTGCACAATCAATACTTGAGAAGATTTTAAGAAAGAGTTGAAGAGGCAATTCTACCCAAAGAATGTGGTCTATGAGGCACGAAAGAAATTAAGGGATCTCAAACATAAGACCACTATCTCTAACAATGTACGAGACTTTACTTCTTTAACACTTCAAATTCCCAATCTGAGCAGTAAAGAAGCTCTCTTCTATTTCATTGATGGTCTCCAAAATTGGACCAAGCATGAGCTATAACGGCGTGACGTGAAGACCGTTGATGAGGCAATCACAGTAGCTGAAAGTCTCATAGAGTATCATAAGGAAAAAGGTGAGTCCTCTAAACCCAAGTCTTCTAAACCTAAGCCTGGAAAAGGTAGGGAGATAAGGGCAAGGGGACATCTAAAGGGGGTGATAGCAGGTCCCCACAGAAGAAACAACCTGAAGGATAAAAGAAGACCTTCAAGGACCAAACTGGATGCTTTGTGTGCAAAGGCCCGCATCAGATGAGAGAATGTCCTAAGTTAGGTATGTTGGCAGCCATAATGGAGAAAACTGAAGAAGAGGAGCTTAATACGGAGATAGGGTCTTTACGACTCCTTAATGCTTTAAAGGTCAAACCCCTACCAAAGAATTCTAAAGGTAAGGGTTTGATGTACATAGATGGGAAGCTAAACAGATCACCTGTCACCATGATGTGTAACACTGGAGCTACCCATAATTTTATCACTCTGGAAAAGGCTAAGAGAATAGGTCTCAAGGTGGTGCAGGAGGGAGGAAGTCTAAAGGCAGCTAACTCACCTTCTAAGCAACTATATGGCATAGCACAAGGAGTTGAGCTATGTTTGGGGAGCTGGAGTGGTAAGATAGACTTCTCCGTAGCTCCTATAGATGACTTCAAGGTCGTGCTAGCACTTAAGTTCTTCAGGCAGGTAAACGATTACCCCATGCCCTATTATAATTTACTTTGCATACTCGAGAAGGAAAACCCTTGCTTTGTGCTTGCAAGAAGAGTGAATGGTGGACACCAACTCTCGGCCTTGCAAGTCAAGAAGGGATTAAAGAAGGGAGAGGCTACGTACTTGGTGGCACTAAAGGAGATTGACCCTAGGGATAAGGTCAAGGAAGAAGTCCCTCTCATAATTGCCCATATCTTGGTAGAGAACCAAGACATTATGCCTATTGAATTGCCCAAGAAGCTTCCACCACATAAAGAGGTGGATCATGAGATCGAGTTAGAATTGGGAACTCAGCCACTGGCCATGGCACCATATCAAATGGCACCACCCGAGTTGGAGTAATTAAGGAAGCAACTAAAGGAGTTGATCAACACAAGTTTCATCCATCTATCAAAAGCAACCAAAAGAAGCAAGATGGGTCCTTACGCCTATGCATCGATTACCGAGCTCTCAATAAGGTAACCTATTCCTTTGATAGTTGACTTATTTGATCGCCTAGGAAAGGCAAAGTACTTTTCCATGTTAGATCTAAGGTCTGGGTATCATCAAGTTTGAATTGCTAAAAGAGATGAACCCAAGACCACTTGTGTGACACGATATAGGTCTTTTGAGTAGTTAGTCATGCCTTTTAGACTAATCAATGCACCAGCCACATTCTGTACTTTGATGAATAAGATCTTTCATCCTTATCTCAATCGGTTCGTGGTGGTATACTTAGATGACATTGTCGTCTATAGCAACACGCTGGAGGAACATGCTAAACACCTCCAGATTGTGTTCAAGACCCTTCGTAAAAATGAGCTTTATGTGAAGAAGGAAAAGTGCTCCTTTGCTTTGAAGGAAGTCTCCTTCTTGGGACATGCCATCTCATATGATTGCCTCAAGATGGATGAGAAAAAGGTACAAGCTATAAAGGAATGGGAGCCTCCAACATGTGTGGCTGAGCTGCGGTCCTTCCTAGGATTAGTAAACTATTATCGGTAAGGCTACTCGGCAAGAGCTGCCCCTCTCACAGAGTTGTTAAAGAAGAATAAATGTTGGCCTTGGACGGAGGAGTGCCAACAAGCCTTTGAGGACTTGAAGGCGGCTATCATGGGAGAACCAGTATTGACACTTCCTGACTTCTCCAAACCCTTTAAGGTACATACTGATGCCTCTGATTTTGCTATAGGAGGTGTCCTAATACAAGAGAGGCATCCTATTGCCTTTGAAAGTTGCAAGCTAAATGATACCGAGAAGTGGTACACAGTCCAAGAAAAGGAAATGATGGCTGTAGTCCATTGCTTGCGTACTTAGAGGCATTACTTGTTAAGGGTAAAGTTTATCATCAAGATGGACAATGTGGCCACTAGTTACTTCCAGACTCAAAAGAAGTTGATGCCAAAGCAATCAAGATGGTAAGACTTCTTGGCTAAGTTTGACTATGTGTTGGAGTATAAGCCAGGAGCAGCTAATGTCATTGCCGATGCTTTAAGTCGAAAGGCAGAACTAGCAACCTTGACCCAAGTTAGTGGGGACTTGGTCGAAAGATTAAAGAAGGGGTGGCCCAGGATCTCATAGCCCTATAGCTAATGGAACTAGCAAAAGAAGGGAAGAGTAAGAGATTCTGGGTGGATAATGACATCCTCTACACTCTAAGAAGGCACATGTATGTCTCTAAATGGGCAAACCTAAAGAAGGAGCTGATCAAAAAGTGTCACGACTCTAAATGGGCAGGTCACCCAAGTCAAAGGCGCACTTTAGCTTTGCTAGAAGCAGCCTATTATTGGCCTCACATGAGGGAGGATGTGGAACTTTATGTGAAGACTTGTCTTGTATGCTAACAAGACAAGGTGGACAATTAATTGCCTAGAGGACTGCTCAAACCCTTACCTATGCCGGGCCAACCATGGGAAAGTGTTTCCTTGGACTTCATCTCAGCATTACCTAAGTTAGAAGGATTCGGATCTATCATAGTGGTAGTAGATCGATTCTCCAAATATGCAATTTTTATAGCTACCCCAACGGACTGCACAGCTGAGGAAGTAGCTCGAATGTTTTTCAAAAATGTGGTAAAGTACTGGGGCCTTCCTAGAACTATCATCAGTGACAGAGATCTACGGTTCACAGGAAAGCTGTGGACAGAATTGTTCAAACTATTGGGGATGGAGCTACACTTCTCAACTAGCTTTCATCCTCAAACAGACGTGCAAACTGAGAGGGTGAATGCTTTACTTGAGTGCTACTTGCAGTACTTTGTTTGTGCCAATTAGAAGGATTAGGTTAAGTTACTTGATGTGGCTCAGTTCTCCTACAACCTATAGAGGAGCGAGGTGATAGGAAAGAGCCCATTTGAGATTGTGATGGGGCAACAACCAATCACCCCACATGCCCTCGCAACCTCTTATAAAGGTAAAAGCCCTGGAGCTTTTAACATGGCTAAGTCTTGGCAGGAACGGGCAGATAAAACAAGATTATTCCTTATAAAAGCTGCTAAGCAGATGAAGAAGTTTGCAGACAAATAAAGGCATGCAATGGAATTCCAAGTGGGAGACATAGTAATAGTGAAAATTCTCCCACAACAATTTAAAGCCTTCAGATCAGTACACAAGGGCCTCATTTGCAAATATGAAGGTACTTATAAGGTAATTAAGAAGGTAGGGAAAGTCTCATATAAATTAGATCTCCTTACTAATTTAAAGATTTATCTTGTCTTCCATATTAGCATGTTGAAACCTTATCATGAAGATCAGGATGACCTAACGCGAGGAACATCATCACGTGCCCCACCGACCATCATCAAGGTATATGATTGAGGAGTTGAAGAAATACTTAGTCACCAAGTTGTGTGAAAAAGAGGTGTGGCACCAGACACACAATACTTGATCAAGTGGAAGGGATTTCCAGAGAGTGATGCGACATGGGAATCTCAAAGAGATCTTTAGAGATTTGAAGAAATACTTCATTCCTATAGAGATGATGCCGTGACGAGGACGTTACTCGAATAGGTGGGGGAGAATGTGACAAAGTTATAATTTCACGAGGTTAAAATATTTTAGAAGCTTTCGAAACGATCCAGGATAATCAAGAAGGCACCAGAGTCTTCTGGGATACGCTGGTATGATCTCAAAAGCCCTAGATATCTCTAAAATAGTGTGGAAAACACTTGATGTATCTAGATCATTCTAGGGATATCCTACTCTTGTACATTCTAGAAGTCCCCTTATAAATATCGAGATATTCCTTATAGATATTTTTATAGAAATATCTAGAGATAGAATGTATACCGTTAGATCGAATCAATCCCAACTGTCTATTAAGGAAGTGAGAATTTTTTAGAGAAAGAGGGAAGCCTATAAATACCCCTTCACCCCTCATTTGTAACCACTCAAGCAAAGTAGTAAAGCTCTCAAAGTTCATTTACTCAAACTCTCTACTCTCTATTTGTGCATCTAGCTCTCTTAGTCTCTTTGCCTACTTTGTGGGTTCAGCTGACTTAGTCACGATCAAGAGGTTGATCAAGCTAAAGCCGGCACGGTTCAAGAAAAGGGAAGTTCCAAGGCCGTGACAACATGCACGCCCTAGTAGCTCAAGTATTGTTACGAGAGAGGAGCTGAAAAATGTAATAATAAATGTAAGGCAACAAACAATAAAGGAGGCTGAAGCTTCTTTTAAAGCTCACTTGGAAGCCCAACTTGCAAAAATGAAAGAGGAGATGATGACCTTTATGTCCTCACGACAAGAGATGACTACTAATGCACCTCATACACAATCACCTAGATTTTATAGCACAAAAGAGAGTAATGTTCTCAAATGTAAATCAGAGGGTCCTTCAGTGAGAAACATAGGTGAACCATGTGAGCTATATTTAGAGGATCCTGATAGACGTTTGGTTGCTCTTGGCAACGTTCATACTTTGGGACAAATCATCTACTATAAACAAATGCAACAAGATCAAGTCAGAGTAGTAGTAGAAGATGTAAAAGTAGCAGATGCACTCATCCCATTCCCTATTGATGAGGTCAAGACTGTGTCCAAAGCTGTTGGTACTTTTATCATGTGGCCTAAGAGACTTATGAGTATAGTTCAAGATGAGGTACATTTTATTAAATATTTCATACATCTTATTAAATATTTCTTTCTTATATTGTTTTTTAATTAACCATCTCTTGCCTTTTCAGCTTTCCTTGCTAAATAATCTCCTGTCGAAACTTCCATAACTCCAACCACTGCAACCACCGCAGTTGACTCCTCTCTAACAAATAATTTTATTGGCTTACGATAAATTATTTGAAGAAAATTTTTTTTACAAAGGAAAAGGATGTTGTGGGTATGGAGAGTCCAGTGATAATTGAACGAGAATATTTGAATCGGCTTAACTCAAAAAGTTAGCTTACCACAGCATCAATTGAGCTTTTTATGTTGTAAGTATGTTTTACTTAAAAATAATGAACTTATCAAGATTGGTCAACTAACATAGTTGCATTATCGAAGGTAGCTCCACCATTTATGCATTACATCGGGCAAAGGTGATCATTTTAGATTTCTTTGCCCTCATCATATGATGGAGAAAGGGAATACTCCTAAAATAAGACCCCAGTACTTCTAGCAATGAATATGTGAAGTTAAAAAGGATGTTTTCATTGCTCCATATGTGCATTCATAAGGACTAATTTACGATTGATAGTTTTTTTTTGTTAAATGTGGACTTCTTCTAATATCTCACTATATTTTGGAGGGACCACTGGCAACTGATTGTTCTTTTATTAAAGAGTAACACAGTCCTCTTCTTATACTCCCTCCATTACGAACCAAACAAGGACAAAAAAAAAGAAGATAGACTCATAAGTGTACTTATATAAAAACTATTAATTTTTATTGATATATTAGTTACAAATCTCGTGATGTTGATTATAAGGCAATGAAAACATATCAAACGATGGTCCTGAAAAAGCACCCACATAAACTAAAAGATCTTATGTGGATTGAGCTAAAGGTAAGTTAAAACTAACACTTTATTAACATATTCAGTTGTCAATATTTATTATCAATTCTCAATTGTTTGTGTGTGTGTGTGTGTGTGTTTTTTTTTTTATATATAGAGTCACAAGCAACCACTAAAGAGTAGTTTGCGTGACGTATATGTGATGAGGCATATGCTCAACATCATCACATTGAGAATGATTGAATTTACAAATGAGGTAACTATATTTTTTAAAGCTAGTTTTATTGTTAATTGCATTAATTGGTTAATATTTTAATTGTAATTTTATACTTTAATATAGATGTTTGACATTGCAAATCCATTTTTTGAGGAAGAGGTTGACAACATCCTCACACATTAAGCACAATATTTTGTGAATGATATATGAGGTTTAGGTAGTTTTTTAGGAAATTGTATAAGACAATTTGAGTTTTGTATTATTTTGTATAGAATTGTATTGAAATTTGGATTATTTATATGTACTTGAATTAGATGGCTGGCAATAAATTGTATAAAATATTTTTATTTGCAAGAATTGGGAAAATAACTAAAAACAGAATATTTTTTAAAAAAAAATCAACTGCTATTAAAAGTCTTCTTTTAAAAAAAAATTCAGCAAGCAACTTTCAATGGTCGACATAAACCTGCTATTAAAAGTTTACTTTTAACAACAGTTGGATAACCGTTGTTGAAAGTCACATACTTTTAACATCTCATGAAACAATAGCAGATATAGAACTACTGTTAAAAGTGTTCTTTACACGCTGTTAAAAACCTATCTTGTAATAGTTAGAACTCTAAATGACCAATGTTGTCATGAAGTTGAAGAAGCAAATCAACAAAGAATGTTTGCATGTGAGCTGGTTCTGGGTTCCGGATTTCGTTGTAAAATGAAATAAGTTTTGGGTTTTGCATTTTTGGATTTCATTGAATAAGTTGAGATTCTAGGTTTGAAGAAGATCAACACAAGAGGTTTTGGGATTTTGTTCTTGTTTGGCTTTGGGTTCTATTCAAAATTGATGGGTTAGGGATTTAAATTTAAAAGATTATATAGGACAATTCTCTTAAGTAACCATCCTATAAGTTAAAGATGTAGAGGATGATTACTGAGCAAAACTGTCCTCTTTGCATTCATATCTTCATATTTAAAAAAAATTCAATTTTTTAATTTCCAAAAACCATTATAGGATGGTTGCAAAATAAAGCATCCTATATTATTAACTATGTAGGATGGTTTGATTAGTAACCCTCTTATAAGTGTTTTAACATTACACATGCCATAGCCTATACCTGCTCATATAGGATAGTTTTAAATACAACCATCCTATACAGTGACGGAGTCAGCAACCTGAGTCAGGAGGTGCGGAGTAATTTAACAAAAAAATTAATATTTTTTAAAAATAGTAATAATTATGCTAGGCTTAAAATTATAATAATATAAATAAATTTATCATCATTTTTCATTTTAAAAAATCATATTCAATAAGTTGATATGCTCTTTTATTACAAATATGCTCTTCATATCTTATTTAAATTATTAAAATATTATATATCTAATAAGTTTTTAATCCTGAATATCTTTTATTTAGTTCAAAGGGGGCAAAATATTAAAATAGGGAGTGCAAAGTTGTAAATTTTAAATGCCCCACTTGTAATTTTTTTCAAAGTGAGGGGGTGCACATGACGTGGCTCCACCGCTGATCCTATATGAGTTGTTCTATGTTAACAGTTTTGTAGTAGTGTCTTCCTCCATTAACATACATACTCTTTATTTTAAAAACAAAATACTCTAGTATATGTTTAATAACTTTCCAACATTTAATAAAAACAAAAATGTAAAGATAGACACAAAAATCACTTTAGTGTCTTATAAATATGACTAAAATAAATATTCTCTCCATGTCCTATAAATAGGATCAAAGGAGTATATTCTATTTATATAGAGCCATGTTGGATAATCTTGGTGTGGGAATGGCAACAAGAGGAACTTTCTTCTTCAGTACGATACCAAACTTCTCAGACATATCTAACTTTTGGCCTTCAGGAACTTTCCAGTCAAATGAATGCATTAGTGTTGCAACAGAATATAAAAAGGTCCTCTCAGCCATGGCTATTCCTGCACATATTCTTCGTCCAGACCCAAATGGGAAATAATTGAAGTCATTTCCACTGAAATCCCATTTAGCATCCACGAACCTTGTAGGGTCAAACTGAAGAGGATTGTTCCAAATCAAAGGGTCTCTATGTATGGCCCACACGTTCACAAACACACGAGAGCCTTTTGGGACAGTGTAGCCTCCTATAATGGTGGTTTCACTTGGACAATGAGGAACTAAGAGAGGAAGAGCAGGATGTAACCTGAGAGTTTCTTTCATAACAGCAAGCAAATATGGAAGCTTGTGAATGTGTGACTCTTCTACTATGTTCTCTCTTCCCACAATGTTGTCCAATTCTTCTTGAACCTTTTTCATCACTTCTGGCTCATTTATGATATGAGCTATTCCAAATTCTATGGTGTTGGAAGATGTGTCGCTTCCACCAACCACCATATCCTGCCCAAGATTTAAAGTTAGCATGTAGAAAAGTTAATGATCATAAATATTATTCTAGGATTATTTAAAAAAAAAAAGTTTCATGCTTTGCTCAAAATAAAATTCATAAAAGGCTTTTAAAAATAAACGTGTCCAAAAAATTGATTATCTAATTGAGGATATATTCACATTGTTTTGAAAAATAAACAAATTTTAACTAATTTACACAATTAAAAATAGTTTCTTGATTTTAATAATTATGTCTAAAATTTCAAAATTTGGATTAAAATATTTTTATGATTAATGAAATAAGTTTGTATTGTGAAAATAAAATTTGATTTCATAAGAAGTAATTTTAAAAAAATTAACAAATATTTCTTAAATTTATTTTTTTATGATAAAAATTATAAAATACTCATCCTTTCCTAAATTATAGTAAGACAACTTGAGACAATATTACCTATATCAATAAAGCTAAATAGTAACACTTTTATGAACTTATTTTAAAAAAATTAAAACTTTAAAAAATATTCTTCATTTAATAAAGTTTTAAATATATAATTATTGTAATTTTCTTTCTCTACTTAAAGGTTAATGTTAAAAAAATATCTTTAATAAAATATTATTCTTACCAGGCTGTCTTATATTTTAGAATGATAATTTTTTAAGGTTATTTTATAATTTAAGATGAACAAAATATATGTTAGTTTCTCTCCTGATACAAAAACTGGAGAGAAAAAAATATATACGTGAGTTAAAAAAAAAAAAAAAAAAACACGGAGAGTCAAGAGTACCATGAGGAGCGCCTTCAGGTGAGTTATGGTGAGTCGTGTCTTGGAATCCTCCTCTTCTGTCAACTTCAACAAGAATTGCAAGAAATCCTTGCTCTCTTCTCCAGTTTCACCCTCATTGTTCCTCCTCAGTCGCTTATTAATCATCTTCTCGAAGATCCGATCGAATTGTTCTGCCAACAAACGCATCTGTTTCTCCACACCTTGCAAATCAAACCGGGCCAACCCGGAAAAGAAGTCGGACAGGTTGGGTTTCCCCAATAGCTCCGTCATGTGCGCCACCGCGGTTCTGAACTCTGCTCCCACAACATCCCTCTCATCGCCTTCCAACGTCCCACCCCACATCATGTTGGTGATCACGTTCAGCACTGTCAGAAATATCTGCTCCCCAATCCTCACCGGAGACCCGACCCGGCTGTATATATACCCAACGGTTTTTCGGATCTCATTGCGACGGAGCTGATAGACGGAATCCAAGGTGGTGTTGCTGAGCATCTTAAGCACGCACACTTTTCTCAACATCCTCCACTCAGGTCCGTAAGGAGTCCAAACGATGTCGTTTCCGCCGTAGGAAGCCAACCTGCCGGCGACGGGGACGTCACGGTTGGCGAAAGTGACGTCATGGTCTTTGAGCACTTGACGAGCGATTGAAGGGGATGAAACGACGATGCCGGATTTGGTGCCGAGTCGGAGCGAGAAGAGGGGGCCATAGGTTTGAGAGAGAGAAGCAAAGTAAGAGTGAAGCTCGGGATCGAGAGAGAGAAGATTGCCAAACAAGGGGAGGCCCGGTGGACCTGGAGGTAGGTTGGGACTGGGTTTGGTGAAGAAGATCCAGGCGTACCAAGCGACGGCAAAGATGCTACAGAGAGCAAGAAGCAGAGGTGTGAGACTATCCCACTGGCTTATGGAATCCATCAGATTCTGAAACAAAGCTGTTGTGAGAGCCCTCATGCTTTAGATTTCTGATCCATAAGAGAAGGATAGATAAGGCACCAGATGTATTTATGAGGAAGCAAGGTGAAGTTGACTTCGAATATCACCACCACCAATGCACGATTTTTATTTCTTATTTTGTGAGGAAAAAATTAATATTTTATATTAAAAATTCCACCTCCAGTCCCATTCATAAATTTTTTTAAAATAATTTTTGATTTTAAAATACTTTATAATAATTAAATTATTTTTAAATTTTATCTTTTTTAATTAGTGTAAAAATATTTAATATAATTGTATAATTATTTAAAATCAAGTTATAATATAAAAGAAATTAATTTTTCTTAAGATACATAAAACGGTTGAAAGTTTTTTATAATAAAGACCGAAAAGATTAATAATTAATACTCTAGTATTTTTAAAATCGAATCGGACTGATTCGACCGTCGATTGATTTGGTTCATAAGAAAAAACTGTTTTAGAGGTTGAGTTGGGTTGAGCTATTTTGAATCGACGGTCGGATCAGAAATTGAAATCAAGCTGAGAACTAGATCCGATTTTTAAAAACTGAACTGTTAAAAAAAAAATTTTTTTTATCAAATTTTTTTTTAAAAAATGACTACTTGTTTTAATCATTTGATATTATATTGTGTCATGTGACTTGTTAAGTCATGATAAACTGAAAATATTTGATTTTTTAAGTTAATAGTAATTTCATAAGTATTTTTTATGTTTAAATTATTATATACATATATAATTTTTTTAATTTAATTATTACATCACCGGTTTAACCATTGATTCAACTCAATTAAATCATGTGAACCGTGAACCGCTGACTTTTCGATTCAATATCCAATCCGATTTTAAAAATATTATAATACTCCCTCGATCCCAATTATAAACACTTTAAAGTCAGGTTCTATGTTCCAAAATATAAAATATTTTAATAAAAATAAAATTTTATTAATAAAATTTTTTTAATATTGTAATTTTTTATTTTTTAATATTTTTTTATTAAATGAAGAGTATTTTCAAAATTTATATTTTTAAAAAAAAATTATAAAATATATTTAATAAATTTGATTGATACACGAGATTTTATTTAAAAATATATTAAAATTTGTAATAAATAATATTATAGTAATACTATTTCATGGACGCGGGCCTCCTTGGACTCAAAGGCGTCGAATCTTAGGGCCCGATGCCATTTTATGAGATTGAGCAAAAGGACAAGTCGGCAAGTGGAGGAGCATCCAATAAATTTAACTTATATTTTTATAAAATAAAAGGGAAAATTGCATTGCAAGCCCTCATAACCAACATACTTTCCTTAAAGGCCAGAAAGAATCTAATATATTCTACGGACCTAAAGGCCACTTTTGCAGTTAAATTTTTTAGTGAAAAGATGGAATTGCCTATTTGTAAAATAAATGGACTTCAATTATTATTTACTGATATTTTATTGTAAATTTTATTTGAATAACTTAAAATTTTTCCCTCTTCAACAAACATAAACCACGTAAATTATGTAAAACAAAGGGACATTTTGTTTTAAATGAGTTAACTCTAAATATTATTTACATAATTTCTATTATAAATTTTATCTAAATAACTTGTAAATTTCCTTCCCAATAAATATAAACTACCTCAAGTATTTGTATAATATATGTGAAATAAATGGGTTCTTGCTCAATCTTGTTGAGCATCTTTATGATCTCCTTAAACAAGAGATAACAACATCTTTAACAACTAAAAAGCTTGTTTTGATATATCACACATATAACATCTGGTAATGCAAGATTTTTAGTATTTGTATTTGTCATTATATCTGGATTTGAGATTGCCGCTGTAGGTTTCATTCTTGGAGAAGCATCCGGCTGTCATTCTAGGTTTCGTTCCTCCAACAGAGAAACTATGTTTGAACAAAGTGTTTGTTGGGTTTAAATCTCTTTGTTGGATTTAGTCTTTCTCGGTTTCATTCTGGGTTTATATCTCTCTGTGTTCTTGAGTTTATGGGATTCTTCAGCATGCTTGAAGAGAGTTTTTGCTCAAAGTGTACTTGAATTTTTGTTTGATTCATTGCACAAGCCAAGAGGGATCGGAAGATTGCGATTGGCTGAGGAAAAAGAGGAAGAGATGACATGGATTTGTTTTTTTTCTTTTTTTTTTAATTTTTAAAATATTTCATGTGGTTGATAGCTAGGCAAATAACAATTAGAAACCCTAATGACAAGGTGAAATTGTAATAAATTAAAATACATTGAGGGCAACATTGAGTCAAAAAACTTAAGGATAACATTCATGCCTACATTGAAATTTTGGAAGTAAATTTGTACTTTAATCCAAGTTAATATTAAGGTAACTTATAATAGGTAGAAGAGGAAGTGATATCATTAATGAAATTTTGTTTTTGTTAACATATCTTATATGTATTTTAAGATATCAAATAAATTTTAAAAATTTTATAAATTGAGAGGAAGGGAATATTTTTCAAGTGATTTATGTTTAGGACTCATCTTCTCTCCTCTACATCATCCCTCTACCACACCTCCTCTAAATCTCTAATGACATCTTTATCGTTTAGATTTAATATGATGGTTCAGATTTAAAGCTTTTGAATTAAAATTTTTATTTGTTAATATAAAAAATTTATAAATTTTTTAATAAGTCTAGTTATCGTCAATTCGGAGAGTCTATATCTAATTTTGATTATTCAATTTTAACATTAAAATTTTTATAAATTGATTATACATATTTACTCTAAACCATTCTTATTTAAAACTTTTGAATTGTGATTTAAAAAAAAATTGGGAAGAACCAATTCAGAAATTATCTTTTATTTTAATATTTTGTTTTTTAAAATAAAAAATATAATATTAAATTTGGATCATTTAAAATAAATTTATATAGTCAATTTAAAAAAAAATTTAAAAAATTAATATTAAGCTTAGAACATTAAAATTAAATATGAATAATGATATTATTGCATATTCTGTCCCTACCTAGGAGGGTACGGAATATGTAAGCTCCAAACCGAATGTTTTTTTATCCCCCTTTCCCGTGGGGTCAGGAGCCGCCAAAGAAGATCCCATCTTGCAATAGCTGTAGATGCCCCCTGTATTGTCAAGGGCAAAAAAAGACGAGGAGCGTGAGGGGAGAAGTGTGGTTTCCAATTTTTGAAATAAACCAGAAAACAGATAACAGGTAATTGTTTGCCAATGAAAGAGAGAATAAAGGATAATTTTTACTCTCACTATTAAAAAATATAACACATTTTTAATATAATCTCACCTCCTAATAAAAAATTACCTTCTTTCAAGTCAATCTTATTTTTTTATATTTATCCTGATTAAATACCTTACATTAAATTTAAAGCCATTTATCAATAGGAATACTTTTGAAAAAAAATAATGATTACTTTTTAAAAAATTAAAAATGTCTAATATTTTTTAATATTTAATTCTTAAAAAAATATTTTATATTTTTTAATAAAAAAATGAATTTTAACTTTATTCAAAAGTTATTGAATATTTTAAATTTAATTATAGTTAATTTTACTTATATTTGAATTCGGGCCACCATACTTTTTGCCTTAATTTTCAAATATGTAGGTCAGATCTTCGAATTTTTTAATATTTAATAATGAGTCTCATTATTTTTATATTTTTTATAATATAAAAATTATTATACTCTTTCTCCCTCTCTTTCACTTTCTCTCTCTTCCTCCTCTCCCCCGACCTTCTCTTCTACCAATCACCTGACGTCCCATGATGCATTGCTTCTTCAGAGTTGACAGTTCTTCATTTCTTACTCTCTCCTAAGAGTGTTCGCATGATGGGATGAGATGAGATGACATCGAGACATCTTAATCCTATGTCTTATTTTGAAAAAAAAAATTGAGATTAAATTTTGATTTCATATTTTATTCTGTTTTGAAAGTCGTCCCGTTCCATTAAGAGTCGGAATGGGATCGGGATTGGGATAAGATCAGGACGTCTTACCGTCCTGATAAATCGAATAATATGGAAGAAAGATATGAATAATAACGTTCATTAAAATTTTAAATTATATAATTTATTAAGTTTAAATTAAAATAACATAAGTACATAAATTACAACAATTTAAAGTCAATTATTGAATTACATTAATCACAACTACATATTATAATAGTAAATATAAATAATTTTTAGACTATAAGAGTAGCAACAACAGTCAAATCAAGTACAATATCAAATCATTGTTCTTCTACTTTAGTGGAGATGTACTAAACTAATTATTCTTCTAAAAATAAAGCAAGAAATACGTTATAAATAAAAGTTATTAAATAGATAGATATAAAAACAAATTATACTAATATAATTAATATAATATAAAGAAAGATATCACCATGTTTACTCAATATTATTAAAATTATCAATATAAAAAAACTTTAGTTTTAAATAAAAATTGTAAGTATTAAAATTATAATTGATATAATTAATATAAATATAAATTATATTAATATATTTAAAGTAAAAAATATATATATATATATATATATATAAAATATTTGGAATGGGACGAGACGTCTCGATAATAATCTCGTGTCCTATCCCCTAAAGTCTTGTCTCAATTATTTTCGGATTAGGACAAGACCCATTTTAATATGATCGGGATGATATCGTGTCAATCGAAATGAGTCTAAACTGAACACTCATACAACCATCATATTTTTTTTGAATGATTAAGATTTAATATTTTATAAAATTAATCAGGGTCTTTCTTATTTTATGTTGGGTGCTAAGCGATTGGTGTACCTCAAGCACCTTTCCCAAGTTATCTTGCACGAAGTACACTTTAGGTATTGGCAGGCAATCAAGATGGGGAGATCTAGCCCACCTTTATTTGCATCTTTTCTCTTTTTGCAGATGTTTGGTCCTTTTTTCTTCAACTTCTCCGAGCCAAGTTAATGACATAAAAAAGGTTCTCGCTGATTTTGGCACCTCCTAGGCCACAAGTCAGTATCTCTAAAACTAGAATTTTCTTTTTGAAGAATGTAACTCGAAATGCAGCTTTGAATTTTTGTGTGAGTTTGGGGTTTCAGAAGTCAGATAACCAAGGCAAGTGCCTTAGAGTACCTTTGCTTCATGCAAGAGTCTGCAAAGATAGCTACAAATATTTAGAGGAACGGGTTCTGAAAAATCTAGCTGGTTGGAAAACTCAAACGCTCCCCAGCAGGCAGGCTCACCCTTGCCCAATCAATATTGTCTTCAATACCTATTCATGCAATGCAATCAACAAACCTACCCTCCTTTACTTGTTCTAGAATTAAAAGCCTCATTAGAAATTTCATTTAGGGAGGCTCTAGCATCCTTAAAGGCATTCCTCTCGTCAGTTGGGACTTTATGTGCCAACCTAAGAGAAATTGAGGGTGTGGCCTCACTGATCTGGAAAGTCAAAACAATTCCTTTATTATCAAATTGGCTGCTGCCATTGAGACCCAGCCTGATCTCTCTTGGGTGCGAGTCATACTAAGCCAAATATAAATGGGATGACAAAAGCAAAAGCCCATTTAAGAGAAGAAGTTCCTTCTGCTTGTGGAGAGATGCATCTCTAAGGTTTGGGATGATGCTCAGCTTGGTCTAAAATGGGAGATTAGGAATGGGCAACATGTAAGATTTTGGAAAGATAACTGGGTAGATGATCATGGACCCATTAGTGAGAGTGACCTTCAAAAACCCATTAGTGACTTCATTATTGCTAACAAACAGTGGGAATGGAGCTTGTTTGATAGGCTTGTTCGAAAGGAAACTTTGGACCACATTGCTGCTACTCCTCCTCCAGATTTAAAGTCCCCAAACGCCACATGTTTTTGAAGTCTTTTGAGTGTTGGGCCTGCTTTGTCAAATCTGCACATCAGCTTATCATGATGGATAATTGGAACTAATGAGAATTGAATGCAGAGAGAGATATAAGTAATGATGCAACTTGAGCACAGTGTCTTAATGTTATCAAGGATGAGAATCATGTTTTAGGGGAGTGCCCTTTTGCACACCATTGTTGGAGCCTAATTGTACCAGACCAACACTTTCATGGCCTTCTCAATGCCCCTTTCCGTCAATGGCTGATCAGGAACCTTTACCCTCGCACAAATAATAATCTCTAGATAATCACCTTTTGGCATAATGTGCTGGAAACTTTGGAATGCAAGAAATAGAAGAATTTTCTATCATGGAGATACTAATGCTGTTATTTTTGTAAATGGTGTTACATCCAGCACTAATCATACTATAGAGGCTATTGATCTGTATATTGTTCTCAATAGAAGCTAGGCTCTTAGTATTTTTATTTTGGCCTAGCATTTTTTGACTTTGGCCTTGTGCTATCTTTTATAGGCCTTGGCCTCCGTTTTGCGTGCATCATTCCTTGAATGAATGAATTCCTCATTTCCATTAAAAAAATAATTTATTTAGATACTCTTTCTTATGCTATTTACAAGCCACTCTTAACTACTTTATTAAAATAAATAGGGAGTTAAACAGTCTAAAAAAGAAAGATATTTCTCAATAAATTCAATTTTTGTTATTTTAATAATTTGGTGAAAATTTTGAAAATGCCCTAATAGATCTAAATATCTTAAAGGAGTTTTGATACAATTATTACAGTATAAAATTGTAAAATCAAAGAGAAAATAGGACTTATTTTAAACATGAGGACCACCAGAAAGAGGTCAAAATCAAAAACTTGGATTCTCATTTTCTTCAACCAAACGAGCAGTATTTTAATAAGATACTTGGGGGCATTTTGTTCAACTAATGATCTTAAAATTTCAAGTTCAAGTTTTAGAATATACAATTGTATTAAATAAATATATCAAAGGCATTCTCAAAATATTTAAGAGAGCATAGCTGGTAATAACAAAATTTAATAATGGTCAAGTTTTTTGTTAAAATTTATTATGAAATAAATTGTAAATATTGAATTAAATAATTAAAAATTCAAAAATTTTAATTACAAATAAGACATTTAAATTTTAAGAGTAACTTTCAGTTTGTAATTAGAATTACTATTCACAACTATGTGAGCCAATATTTATAATTTATTTTCAAAAAATTTTATATGGGGCCTAACGATTATTAATTTTTTTAAGAATTTTATTGTCATTCTCTCTTTCAATAATATATACTATTTCATGACCCATCAAACACATAAATAGTGGTAATAATTAGTTGCATTGTTATTGACTTGTGAAATTAAGACATATATATGATAGTTGATTCCTCTGAATCAATGAACACACTTATTCTATTCATATAGAATTGGGTTGGATGGTCTTGGTGTGGGCATTGCAACAAGAGGAACTTTCTTTTTTTCCCAATACCAAACTTCACAGACATATTATAAAATAAATGTAATTATAGATGTAAATAATTATAAATTTAGAAGTTCCAATGATAAATAAGACATTTAAATGCTAAAAGTAACTTTTAGTTTATAATTAAAATTCCTAACTACAACTATATGAGCTTATTTTCAAAAACTTTTATGTGGGACTTAATTGTTATTAATTTTTTAGAACTTTATGATAATTCTCTTTTTTAATAATATATATTTATGAATTAAGGTTCAATTTTGTCTCTGCATTTATTTTTTAGGAACACTGGGCATTTTATACTCTTAAGTAGGGCAATTTTACCTATAAACTATTTTTTTGAGTAGCCAAAAAACCCTCCATTAATAAATCATTAATTCTATCGTTATATGCTGATGTAGCATGTCTGTGGGGTCCACGCACAGTGACAAGTTAGATTTTAACTATATTCTTTGGTGCTAATTTATTTTTGAACTCTTTTTTTAAAGAGTGCTGAGTATTCTAAAGTTTTTTTCTAGGAGCCTTGGGTATCGTGAAATCCTGTTAAAATAAAATTTAATAAATATTGTTAAAATATTAAGTATTTTAATATTTAATAATTTAAATATTATTATTTAAAACATTACGCTACCCAATTTAATATTTTAATATTATGCAGTTTTGTATTTAAAATGAAGAGAATGAACCTCCAAATTAATGATGAAATTTTTTCTTTTCATTTGCCCCTTTTTTTCTTGTTAAGTAACATTTTTTGTAGCACATTAATGGAATAAGCGATGTCTTTCAAATAAATATTTTTGTTATCATTTTGTTGGTCCTAATTATAATATTTTTGATATTACTCCTAACACTACAACATACAGAGAATATTAAATTTAGTTAGTGCAATCTTTTGAAGGAAAAACTTTAGTTGACCAAAAAAATTAAGGAACTTAACCAATATTAAAAATATAAGTAAGTTCTAACATACACAAAAAGCGTAATGATATGGGCACTGTTTTGGAGAGAAAATCAAAATATTAAAAAAAAGTCATCTGTAAATTTATAAAATGCTAGTTTGAGTTGTTAATATTTAAAAAGTAATTTATAAATTTTGAATGAATATTTATAAATAATAATATTTAAATTATTATATATAAAAATATTTAATATTTTGGCAATATTTATTAAATTTTATTTTAATAAGAATTGAAGAAAAAGACTTAAGAATGTTCAACGCTCATAGAAAAAAATTCATGGGTTAATTAGCATCAAAAGACATGGTCAGAATCTAACTTGTGACTATGCATGGACCCCATAGACATGCCACATTAGCATATAATGACAGAGTTAACAGTTTATTAACGAAGAGGGTTTTTTGCTCCTCAAAAAAATAGTTCAGGAATAAAATTACCCCACTTAAAAGTATAGGGTGCCAAGCACTTCTAAAAAATAAGTATAGGGACAAAATTAGACTTTAACCTTATATTTATTCATGACCCATCAAACACATAAATAAGTGGTGATAGTTATTGTACTATTGACTTGTGAATTGAAATGTGCTCTTTATCATATATATCAACAAATAATTGACTCCTCTAAGTCAATTAACATACACATTCTATTCATATAGAGTGGGGTTGGATAGTCTTGGCGTAGGTATAGCAGCGAGAGGAACTCTCTTTTTTAGCACAATACCAAACTTCTCAGACATATCTAACTCTTGGCCTTCAACTACTTTCCAGTCAAATGAATGCATCAGTGTTGCCATAGAATATAGAAAGGTCCTCTCAGCCATGGCTATCCCTGCACACATTCTTCGTCCAGACCCAAATGGGAAATAATCAAAATCATTCCCACTAAAATCCCATTTCGCATCCAAGAACCTTATAGGGTCAAACTGAAGAGGATTGTTCCAAATCAAAGGATCTCTATGTATGGCCCACACATTCACAAACACACGAGAGCCTTTTGGGACAGTGTAGCCTTCTATAATGGTGGTTTCACTTGGACAATGAGGAACTAAAAGAGGAAGAGCAGGATGTAACCTGAGAGTTTCTTTCATAACAGCAAGCAAACATGGAAGCTTGTGAATGTGTGACTCTTCTACTGTGTTCTCTCTTCCCACAATATTGTCCAATTCTTCTTGAACCCTTTTCATCACCTCTGGCTCATTTATGATATGAGCTAAGGCAAAGTCAATCGCGTTTGAAGTTGTGTCACTTCCTCCAACCACCATGTCCTGCCCATGAATTGATTTAAGCATACAGATTTTGTTTTTAATAAAACCATGCTTGATTAAAAAAACATATTACGGAAAAATATTTGCTAAAATATTTATGAAAAACATAGTTTTCAACCTAAATTTTTTTTATCAACTTGAATCTAAGTTACTGTAGTTTTTTCATTAAACAATCATTCTTTAAAGTTGTGGTTACTTTTGGTCAAAATTCCTAGGGAAAATGACAATTAGAGACCCTATACAATAATGTTAATTACATATCTTAAATTATTAAAATCATGATAACAGACATTAGTCCTTATTATGTTTTCTTTTCCCACAACGTTGTCCAATTCTTCTTGAACCCTTTTTGTCACCTCTGACTCATTTATGATATGAACTAAGGCAAACTCAATTGAGTTAGAAGATGTGCCGTTTTCTTCAATCACCATATCCTCCCCATGAATTGATTTCAGCATACAGAATTTTTTTTTTTGAAAACCATATTTGATAAAAAGAAAATATTACGGTAAAAAGATATTTGCCAAAGTATTCATGAAAAGCATAGTTTTCTTCCTAAAGTTTTGGTCAACTTAAATATAAGTTATTGTAGTTTTTTCATTAAACAATCGATCTTTAAAGTTGTGGCTGCTTTTGGTCAAAATTCCTACTTACTAAACATTATTATCATATTATACAGACAATATTCCATGTCACTATAGGGATTGCTGATAGAAGGTAGAAGATATAAAGAGAACATCAAATTACAACACTACGTTTTTGTATGCCATGTATCTTAATATCCGGTGATTTATATGGCAGTAGTTAAATGGTTGAAATGAATGCATCTTAAAAAAGCAGTCTTTTTTTGTTTTTTGGGGTACAATTCAAAAAGCTCTCTTTTAACTGTTTCATTTATTTTTGGTGAAGTCCTATTATTACAATGTGTATACTCATCGAGCGAGATAATTACTGATAGAATTCAAATTCCTACGTAGTTGGTGATATATCATTGCCACATTAGTAACATATTTTTCTTTTTTTTTTTATAGAACCACATTAGTAACATATTATTTCCAAAAATTTTGACCAAAAGTTTAATTACTACAATTTCAAATTTCAAAGTTTGGTTTGTTAATTGAAATGTTTAAAGACTTCTTATAAAAAACGAAAAAGGAAAAAAGTTTAAGGACTATAACCCAAATTAATCAAAACTTTAAGAACTAGAAATTATATTTTCCTAATATATTTTTTACTCCAATTTTTTTAACATTTATCATAATTAATTTAAACTAATTAAATTATAAAATAATAAAATAGATGTGTTCAAATGATTATAGAAGGGTGAAAATACCATGAGGAGGGCCTTAACGTGGGTCATGGTGAGTGGCGTTTTAGAATTCTCTTCGTCCTTCAATTTCAACAAAAACTGCAAGAAATCTTTACTCTCTTCTTCAGTCCCACCGTCACTGTCCCTCCCAAGTCGCAGCTTTATCATCTTCTCGAAGATCTGATCCAACCGTGGGACCAATGAACGCATCTGTTTCTCTACGCCTTGCAAATCAAACCGGGCCAAACCGGGAAAAAAGTCTGACATGTTGGGTTTCCCCAACAGCTCCGTCATGTGCGCCACCACTTCCCTGAACTCCGCTCCCACAACCGCCCTCTCATCCCCTTCCATCGTCCTGCCCCACATCATACTAGTGGTCACGTTCAATATGGTAAGGAAAATCTGCTTCCCAATGTCCACCGGAGACCCGACTCGGCTGTACAGATACCTAACTGTTTTTCGGATCTCAGTGCGACGGAGTTGATAGACGGAATCCAAGGTGGTGTTGCTGAGCATCTTAAGCGCACACACTTTTCTCAACATCCGCCACTCAGGTCCGTAACGAGACCAAGCTATGTCGTTTCCTCCGTAGGTGGCTAACCTGCCGGCGATGGGGACGTCACGGTTGGCGAAAGTGATGTCATGGTCCTTGAGCACTTGACGAGCGATTGAAGGGGATGAAAAGACGATGCAGGATTGGGTGCCTAGTCGGAGCGAGAAGATGGGGCCATAGGTTTGAGAGAGAGAAGCGAAGTAAGAGTGAAGCTCGGGATCGAGAGAGAGAAGATTGCCGAATAAGGGGAGGCCCGGTGGACCTGGAGGTAGGTTGGGACTGGGTTTGGTGAAGAAGATCCTGGCATACCAAGCGACGGCGAAGATGCCACAGAAAGCAAGAAACAGAGGTGTGAGAGTATCCCACTGGCTTATGGAATCCATCAGATTCTGAAACAAAGTTGGTGCGAGGGTTATTATCCTGAGACTAAATTCAGATCCAAGAAGGAAGGATGAGAGAGCCAAGAAGGAGGGTCAGGTATACTTCGTAACTACCGGCGCTGCCAATGCGCTCACGGCAGACGTTATCTTTTCAAGAGTAAAGACAAAAAATTATATTCCATCCATTTATAAATATAAAATATTTTTATTTAAATTTTATCTTTTAATAAAATAATTATTTATTTTTAAATTAATTCTAAATTTTTCATATTTAGTCCTATTAAATATTCAATAATAAATATAAAGTCATTATCAATAAGAACATTTAAAAAAAACAATAATTATATTTTAAAAAATTAAAAATATTTTATATTTTTAAACATGAAGGGAGGAAGTATATTTCTCAACTAATATACCTACTAGGTAGGAGAGAAAAGTATGGGGAAAAAAGTGAACGAAAAAAAAAATAAAAAAAATAATATGTAAGGTCCATATATTTTTACTTCAATTTTTCTCTACAAATGTAAAGAAATTTTAGATAGAATATTTAAGTTTTAAATTTATCCACACATTTTTTTTTTGTTTCATACCTCTTGCTTCCCCCATTTTCATCCTAATTTTTCCTTCATTTTTTCATTTAAATTATTATATATTTAATAAGTTAATAAATAAAAATTAAAATTAGAGAAAATAATTTTATTTTCAAGCATTGAATTAAATAATTCACAATTATATTTTTATTTAATCAGTAATATATAATAAAAAACATATCAATATTATGTAAAAATATTAAATTTATTATATATAAATATTTTTTACAAATAACAAGGTTATTATTATACATATAAAATTAATAATTTTTCTTTTCTTCCATTTTTTCTTGATCAACGGAAAGAAAATTATATCCTTTCACTTTTCTCTTCCCTTTATTTTCTCTTCTTAAATTCTCTTTTATGAGTCAACACAGCATAAGTATTACATATATGAGAAATAAAATTCGAACTTCCAATAAACCACCTACTTAAACCACCATAAATATTGCCTCACTCAACTTTAGTACTGATTATTTACTTCTTGCATTGCATGATATTGTTTTCAAATTTCAATGTAGTTTTTTTTAATGTTTTCAAAATGAAAAGTTAATATTTTATTCAAGAATGATAATAAATAATAAACCACAATATAGTTTGTTGTTAGGAAGAATGATAGTTAAATCTCAAAATATCAAATTAATGATAGATAAGTTTTCAACAGCTTCTTTTTTTTTTTTTGAAAAACTAGTTGAAAATATCAATGCAAATAATTATATATCTAGAAATTTTAATTATAAATAAGTATTTAAATATTAAATGTAATTTTTTGATTGCAACAAAAATTCAGTAACAAATTCAAAACTTTTTGAATTAATATTTATAATTTATTTTATAATAAATTTTTTCAGGCACCTAAGTATTACTAATTTAATATTTTAGGGCATAAATATCATTCTTTCTTGTACTTACTTTTTAACAAGGGCACCCCATAGCTAGAGCTGTCAATTAGGGTTAGTTCGGCCCCAAAGAATCGGCCCTAATAAGCTCAATTATATGTTAGGATTTTCTTTTACAAGGCTTGACCCTAATTTTCAGGGCTAAAGGGCCGGCCCTCAGGGCCTCAACCCTATTTTTAAAATTTTTTATATTTATAATTATAAAAAAAGTTATTATATATAAAATTAAGTTTAAAAAAATAAGTTTAAATCAATTTACACCACAACAATAAAGAAAACTTAAATATTTAAGTCTAATATTAAATAGCAACATCAAAGTTAATACCAATAAAAATTAAACTTAGCTAACATTATTGGCTAAATCTTAATAAATGAATGGGGGATGGATGAATGCATTTAATATATTCATTTTTTTGGGTTATATATTTAATTTTTTATTTTTTATATAATAATTTTTTTAAAAAAATGATAAAAGGTCTTAAAAGGGCCCAAATTATCATTTTTTCTTTTAAAATAGTGGCCCAACCCTAGTTATTTTTGAGCTTAAAAGGGCTGATCCAATGGGTTGGGCCCTAATTAACAGCTCTACTCATAGCCCCAACTAATCTGAAAGTAAAGTTTGGCTGGGCCCAATATGAAGTAGAATTTTTTTTTTTTGGAATAGAAATCTGGAAACATTCATTACAAACTGAATAACAAAATACACAACAAACAAAATGAAAACATCAAGGGAAATTTGCCATAAAAAACCTAACCATCAAATTAATTGCTAAAAAAGAATTGGAAACTTTTGGAGAATGATGTCTTTCACTGGCAATAATTATTGAGGGCTAAATGATAAAAATACCCTTACTAATTAAAAAAGAATGTAAAAATTGAGTAAGGTCCTTCATTGTTAATATTTCACATAAAGTTTTTCACTGTTAATACATTACAATGTCCTTTGCTGTTAATAATTTTATGTCAACACTTAATACAAAGTTTTTTAGTATCAATATGTCAATTTGAAATACTAAAAGCAAGGGTCTTCAATTGTATACAACAATTCTTTCACTATATGTATTTAAACTTCAATTATATGAAAAAAAAATACCTTTCACTTATTCAAATAACATCTTTTATTGATATTATGAAAATTTTTAACTTAGAAATATTTTGGAATACTAAAAGCAGAGATCTTTATTTATGTGCAGTGATTTTTCCGCTATATGCATTAGAACCTCAATTATATGCAAGAAAACTTCTACACATTCAATTAACACTATTGTACATTCAAATATCACTCATTAATTCCCTTATGGATGTCTTTGGAAGCATATGCAATTTTTCTTCCTCGATATGTGACTAATCTTCAATGAAATACAATTTTTTTCCACATATTCAAATAGTAATTTTGCATATTCAGATATCACTCATTAATTTTTTTTTATGGATGTCTTTGGAAACATATGCAATCTTGCTTTTTTGATATGCCACACTGATCTTCAACTAAATGCAAATTTCTTCTATATATTAAAATGCCACTTATGCATATTTAAATATTCTTTATTAATTTTCCTTATAGATACTTTTGGAAGCATGAGCAACATTTCTTGATTCCAACATAAGCAAAAAAATTTTCCATGATATACCACCGATCTTCAATAAAATGTAAGTTTCTTTCATATATTCAAATATTACTCATACATATTTGAATATCCCTTAATCATTTCCTTTGTACGTATACTTTTGGAAGGATATACAACCTTTCTTTCATGATATGCTATTGATCTTTAACAAAATATAATTTTATCTCATATATTAGAATATCACTTATGCATATTCTGAAAAAAATCTTAGTGTCAAAATTTTACATGACATACATCTTATATTTGAATATGATTTTTGCATGTTCTTAAAAAAAAATCTTGGTGTCAAAATTTTACATATAATTTACCTTATATTCGAATATCCATAATGAATATTCAAAGATCCCTTGTTAATACATAACTTGAAGATTAAAAATTTCAAGATATATGGATTCAATATTCAAATATGATTTTGCATATTCTGAAAATATATGTGGATATTCTGAAAATACAAATAGATATTTTGAAAACACACATGACTATTCAAAAAACACATATTATTCTAGAATACTAGAAGCATGGGTCTTCAATTATATGCACCAATTATTCCACTATGTATATTTGAACTTCAAACACATGCAAGAAAACTTCCATTTATTACCAAACTTCAAATGTATGCATTTGTGTTTTTAATACCAAAGCTTCCAACTCCAACTTAAAGCATAAAGAAAAATAATTGAACACTTATAAATCCATTTATCATTAAATAATAATATGTTCTTACATTATTTGACAACATAATAATACACGATACACATAATCATAGCAAAATGATTCATTCATAGGAAATAAATATTGAAAAAAAATATCATCTATACAATCCTTACAAAATGTCATTTATATAAGCTTTGAGAATATAATTTAATGGAATCCTCTTTAGAATCTTCTCATGGGTCTTCAAAATGTCCTCTTCCTCCATCTTCCACCAAAGCTGCAACTCATATGTATAGCTTTTAATGCGGAAAATGTGGAGATCACTCCAAGCTTCAAAATATAGAATATGAGTACTGAAAAAATTTATTCAAGGACCATGGCCTTTTTCAGAATTTTATAAAAGATTCTTACTGGTAATAAGTGTTCTTAAAAAATCCTTAAATGTCATTTTCCCTATTTTAAAGGTGTTTGTATTTAATATATTGCATGACCATTGACAGCTAATATATATATATATATATATATTATTTATTATCCATAAATATCATATATAGTATGGAAAAAATTTATCGGAACACTATTTACATAAGATGAAAAGACGGCCAATAAAAGTTGTTGGCAAGAATTTAATCCGCAATAATTAATAAGAGTGTGCATTTAAATCTTGTCGAATTGAGAATGTTATTAGTGAGCTATTTTATAACATCCTAATTTTTAAAAAAAAAATTTATAGAATTTAAGTTTTATTAAAAAAATAATAATAATAGGAATTTATATTATTTGAGATTATTTAAAAATAATAATATCGTTAGAAATTTAATTGTGAATTTAAAACTTAAGTTTAAAAATTATATAAGAAATATTTTATTAAGATATAATTTTAAAATTTAAAATAATAAAAAAATATATGTGTGAGTGTGAGTAGAAAAAAAAAAGAAAGGAAAAAAAAAGGAGGTTAGTCCCACATCGATTAGATGTGAGAATGAAATGCGCCTCCTCATGTATAAAAAGAGGAGGTGCATCACGTAGGAAGTGTAAAAAAAAAAAAATTTATGGAATTTGTGAAAATTGTAACTAATGGCCCAAGATGCAATTTGTGAAAATTGCAAGTAATGGTCCAAAAATTTGAATAATTAAATTCAAACCTATAATTTTTTTATATATAATTGTGGGACTCACAATTTCATTTATATATTATTTTTTTTCTCTCACGTTGCTCGGTGTTTTCTCACAAGGGGGGATTATTTTCTTTTTCTTCAGGTATGTTCCAACTTTCCTGTTTAGATTAGTATTTAAAAAAATTATTTAGTTATTTTCTAAATAATATTAGCTTTCTAGTGATATGATTATTTTGTAGAATAGAGTAAATATT